ATAAAGGGCAAAACTTCTTATATGCTTCTTAAACTGGATCGTGAGAAAGCTTTTGACCAACTCGAGTGGTCATTTATACATTATACACTAGTTACCCTGAACTTCCCTCCAAACTTCATCCAACTCATCATGTCTTGTGTTACAACAACCTCGACATCGATCTTAATCAACGGCAATCCTACTGAATATTTTAACCCAACATGGGGCATTCATCAAGGAGATCCGCTATTGCCATATCTATTCATACTTTGTATCGAAATGCTCTCTCGAAAAATAAATACGGCAGTAGGTTATCGTGCTTGGCAACCAATTACCATACCTCCTAGAGGACCTTCAATATCACACATGTTTTTTGCCGACGATATTATCTTAACTGCCAAAATAACTCCAAGTACTTGTGACTCCATCATCGACACTCTAAATCAATTCACAAAATACTTGGGCCAAACTATAAACTTCCAGAAATCAAAAATCTTCTTCTAAAAAATATGCCCTTCAAATACCAAAACATCAGTCCTACAGCTATTCCATATGAACGAAGGGATACACTTTGGTAGATATTTGGGTTTCCCTATCTTTGTTAAGAAACCATCCAAAAATGATTTTCAATTCCTCCTGGATAATTTCAAAAATAAACTAGCTGGGTGGAAAATACAATTCTTATCAAGGGAAGGTCGCACTACTCTTATTCAATCTACCCTAAACCACTTACCAAATCACATCATGCAGTATATCACACTCCTTACCAATATCCTCTCTCTTTTAACTCGATACCAAAGAAACTTTCTGTGGGGGACAACTCCACAAAAGCGAAAACTCCACCTTATCAAATGGAATAGGGTAGCCCAACCACTAGACCAAGGTGGCCTGGGCATACAACACCTTGCCACCAAAAATCAAGCTTTACATGCAAGCCTTGCCTGGCAATTTTTTCAAAATCCAAACCAACTATCGGCACAACTTCTACGAAATACATATATACGCCCAAACAAGGCGACCAAGCGCTCTACTTCCTTTACGTGGAAGAATATCATCCGTGGATGGTCTTACTGCCGCCTGTGATATAAATGGAATCTTACCAATGGCCACCACGTTAAATTCTGGACTGATCCCTGGATACAATATAATTTAACTCTTTAGTCCTGTATCTCTAGCCCTTTCCCACCCCAAGAAGTACACAAGTTAGTATCTGACTACTACTACGATAACAAATGGATTTTTGACAGTCTTTTATTTGAAATAACAAATGATCTACAAACCCACATTCGAAGTATCTATATGCCAGTTTTCCAACACAACTATGATCAGATTTTCTGGGATCTGACCAAGGATGGCATGTTCTTTGTCAAATCCAGTTACAAATCGCTCGCCCCAAAAGTCAGTCAGCACTACTCCTATAAATGGATTTGGAAACTCCAAATCCCCCCAAAAATATCCTTTTTCCTCTGGTTATTTTCACATAACCGACTCCCAACTGTTACCTATCTCTCAAGATTAGGAATCATCCCTTCAAATATATGTACTCAGTGCCAAATGGCTCCAGAAACAACAACACACATTTTTCTCGAATGCCCCCGAGCTACCCAGCTGTGGGCACATCTCAATATAATCCCCCCTATTCAGTGTTCCACTCCAACTAACACTGACACATCTCAGTATTCTAACCCAAATCCTAACGACAACTCAAATTGGCTCTATCGGCTCATACATATGCCTTTAAAATCAACTCCCCATAGAATCCCTACCACCATGTTCCTCTCTTTTGCTATTTGGCATATATGGCATATACGGAATAAAAACATATTGGATCGTAATAATTTGGACATTAATATTCCTATGCTCATAAATACAACGGCTGAATACTATTTTTTAACACAAAACAACAGCACAAAACATCTCACCATACCTCTCTACATCAAATGGCATCCTCTCCCACCAAATCACTACAAACTAAACATAGATGGTGCGGCTTCATCCGCTCAAAACAGCTATGGAATAGGTGTGGTTTTTCGCAATACCCAGGGGCACTGGGTCATGGGCTTTGCAGGTGGATCATACCCAGCCACCAGTATCCACAGAGAACTCCTGGCACTATTCATGGGATTGAAGCTTGATGTGCGCCACCAATTTACACCGATCACCATTGAAACATACGCACACGACATAATTGGTATGTTAAATATGCCTACTATGCACTACACTAACATTCTTAATGACTGCAGGTTATTGCTTCAACAACTGGGTAGGCCTTCTATCCAACATGTCTACAGGGAGCAAAATAGTATTGTAGATAGTCTAGCTAAATATGGAGCCACGCATGCAGATAGCAATAGTTGCCTCTATTTTGTAACCCCACCACTTTTTGTCAGGACTCTCTACCAGGAAGATCTAGCGGGAACAATGCACCGGAGGCTCGTTAACAAAAACAACCAAATTTTCCCTAGCTCTCTCCCACAAACGACCTCTGCTTTGTCTTGCTTTTGTAATACTGATGTTTTGTTTAGTAATGCACCCCATGCAGGGGCGCTTGTAGTAACTACTAATAGTACTAGTCTAGATACTAACATGCGTGCCAGGCATCTTACTCCCTATACTGATGTAATGTTTTAATCCCTTTTAATATACTAGTTTTTCCTCACGTGCGATTGCACGTGTATGTTAAGTCATGTAATATACATCTGTGTAAAATAATGTCAATTTTATTAAAGTGAAATTTCTAATAAATAATTATACATGAAATAATAAAGCTTAAGTGACTGACTAATAAGGATCATTATAGTCAGTTAACCTACGAAGATAAACAAGCAAAGTACAATTAAATAGACGTGAACTAAGATAAGCATCACAATTAGACAGCCATCGTATATTACTCCCATTAACGCATTCATAGACAGATGGCTCTACATATATAATTAGTGTAAATGTTGTAAGAAATATTTCCCAAAAAATGAAGTTCCTAATTAAACTTATAAGACTATGGTAATAAATAGTTATGTACTTAAGCTACGTCTACACCTCATATAAATTGGATCGTATCATCATTTGCTTCTAAATGACATAAACGGGCTCTAGAACATAAACTCTAGGAAAAATATTCCCTCAAGACATCAAAAACAGTAGCATATTCATGGCTATGCGCTCTAATTTCTTTTCACTTCTTTAATTACCATTGTCTTCTCCTCAATGCTTTTTCTTCTCATCGTTTATTAATTAGTTCTCTTCTTCTCCGTTTTAGAGAAATAGGAAGCCTTCTCAACTATTTAATTGGTTCTTTTACCCCTTGGCAGCAAGTAGTAATAATGATCCTCAACGTGTTCACAAATTTAAGAATTTCTTCCAAAAAATTTCGTCCTTCTCATGTAGTTAAATGAAATAGGAGAAAATCTTCTCCCATTAAACTATGGCTGATTTCTTCTTCCTCTTCTTCAATGTGAAATATTTCTTTCAATAATGTGCACTTTGTCACGTAAGAATTATCTCTACCACATTAAACAAAATTTTAACCTCAAGTCCTCCTTCCCCATGAACACAAAAATAAACTTAGTTTTCTTGATTCAGAATTACCAAGGTAACTACTTAAACCTGTAATGAAAAAAGGAATACGATAATTTCTAATAAAACCTAGAGAGATTAATATGTTTGAAGGTTAATAGATGAATTGCAAAAATATATTCAGCAATATGCATATATAAGAAAAGAAGTTCATCTGAAGAAGTAAACAAAAAAAAACTCAGTTGGATACTTGAAAATAGAATAAGTCATACATGGCAAATGACACGAACAAAGTTTAGGAATATGAAATAAAAAAGAGTTTATGTATGCCGTTGCCAAAGAGAAATAATAAGCTTAATGACTTGAGAATAAAAGAATTAGTCTATATATGAAAATAAATATGGTTCTAAAGTACTTTAGAATATGATTAGCATTATAAAGTAAGAACCACAAAAACTACTCAATTGAGATGCTTTACAAAGTGGTGCTGAAGAGTCCAAATTTTTGATATTTTAAGTTTTAACTCATCTCTATTGGCAATGCATAACACTAAAAGCAACTATATATCTTCTCCTAAAATAACTTTAAACTGCAAACCCTTCAAACGATATGGGTATTATATGGGGTTTAACATCGAAATAAACTATTTGATTCTCTTGCACTGCTCAGGTGCTATAGGTCAGTTTTATTTGGCTAATTCCTTAATGGCATCAATTGGCTAAAAGTATCAAACAGACTTTATTATGCAGCTATGGTGTGTATTTCTCAAAAATGCAATAATAGTTATTTTAGTTTATCAGAGAATGTGTAATCTCCAGTTTATTATTTGAATAGATAGATGGATGTAATTAGTCAGTGTTCAAGTGTCGAGATACCAAACACAGTATTATCCCAAGTCTCAGCATACGAACCCATTCAATAACATAAATCTCTTCAATCACTAAATTAAATGAAGTAATTGCTAACACTCCATTCAAATATTCAATACACAATTTCCGAGGAACTATCTTAAGAAATTTAGATATCAAGAATCGATTCTACGTAAAAAAAAATACCAGAAAACATATGTATCATCCTATCCATCATAGAATTGTCCAGCCAATAAATTTGGTGAAACATAAGAGGCCAAAGCAACGTTAGAAGCAGGGGCTCATCAACAGACTGTGAAGGTTTGCATCTATTTATAGTCTAAAGGTTTGTGACCGTTAACGATTGTGTATGAAGCGTTGTGTTGGTTTGTGTTGGTTTGTAAGCGTCAGATTTTTGTTTATAAGGTAATTAGGTTTAATACGTCAATAGGGTATTTGAGTAAATAACAGGGATAATATAGTAACTAAGTTAAATGCTTCTTGTTTTTAATATATTATAGATTATAGATATAGATTTAATAGATTATAGATAGATTATAGATAAGTCTTTCTTTCCGATCAAAAAAAAAAAAAAACTTCTAAACATATATACCTAAAAATTCCTAGTATTATTTTGCTATAAATTGTGGATATGGTGAAAGGGGATGGTCCCATTTCATAAATCAAAATCCACTAAAACCTGACTCATCAACCAGTTATGGCTAATCATACTGTTATTCACAATTGACGGACTGATTATACACCCAAAGAGACCAAAATCTTTACTTTCAAATTTGGCATGTGGGAGCTATTAATCATCCGAGTCAATAGGTAGTAGCATTATTATCTAGTTTAAAAAATAATGCTCAAAGCTATACTGATTCTGGGTTCATCTTCTGGGTTTTTATCCTGTCGATTCAGGAAGCCTCAACCAAATTCTGGGCTTTTCTTAATTTCCACAAGAAAATCCATTGGGACAATATCTGTAAAGACTGATTCTTTGTTATTGCCGGCTTCTCATTATAAGGGTCGTTTTAGAATGTCTTCAACTCATTCCAAGTCAAACCCAGATGGCCCATCTTCATCACAACTTTCTTCTTCATCTGTTGCAGCAATCCAGTCAATTGTGAGTTGTTACTACTTAATAAAAAAATGGGTTCAAATTTCTTGAAATTGTTGTCTATTCCCTGCTTGTTTTATTAATTGTGATAATTCATAATTCCTTAACTTTTCAGCTTGTTTGGTATATTTTTTTTCCCATTTCCAAGTATTTGTAGCTTTGATTATCTTTTGGGTATTGTATGCATAATTAGTAGATATTCAATTCTTGGTTTTTTAGAGTACCAATTGTTTTAGTTGGAAAGTTTTGGATTTTCAAAATTACCGTTTTTACAGATTTATGTTGGAGTTTGAGTGGTTTGTGTACTTCTTTTGAAAGTTTTAGATTTACTGATACAGATGAGTGATGAGTCAAGGTTCTAGATTGTGTGATTTCTAGTGCTGTTTTGCCTTCTCTGTCTTTGTTGGTTGAGTGGTTGTGCTTTATGTTTGATGTTGCAAGTTGGTACATTGAATCAGATTCAAAGTAGATTTAAGACTAGTGTTTGGAAAACACAGGTTTAAGTGCTACTTAGGATCCTTTAGTTGGATAAAAAGTAGATTACTCGAACGAAAACCTTCTCTTATTTTGGTAGGTATGAACCAATTAACTCTTTTACCTCGGGCATAATAACATAATTTGTAACCGAAGAGCCAGCACTCGTCCCTGCATTCAATCATCTATATTATTCTATACTCTAAGGCGAAGGCAGATTTTTTTGAATATTGTGCACTTCTTTTGATGGTTGTTGATTTACTGAAACAGATGACTCAAGATGCTGATTTCTGTTGTTTCTGGTGCCATTTTCTTTATATGTCACTGGTTGGTTGTTCTTTATGTCCGAGGTTGCGTCTTGGCACATTGAATGAGATTCAAAGTGGTCTTAGATTAAAAGATATTTGTGAAAGCACAGGGTCAAGTGCTACCTAGGATCTTTTTGTTGGAGAAATTGATGGATTAGTTGAATGAAAACGTGTTCTTATTCGGATTGGTATCAACCATCTAGCTTTGTACCTCTTACACTAAAGTTTTACTATGGAGTGAAGCCTCAGCATTTAAACCCTAATTAAGTCATACATACTCAGTATATATTGCCCCGTTCTCACTCTCTTCCTTTAAATTTTCTCTGAAGAAACTTTGTATATCTTCTGACAATTAAAACTTCTAAAAGAGAAGTCTGGACTTAGACGTTATGGATTGAATTTAGAAGAAGCTAAAGAGGCTTCATCTCTCTTTCTCCTTTGTAGTCTGATGTACCCTCGTTTACCTCATATTTTCTCCGGTAGCTTGCTTAATAATCTAGTATGCCTACTTTAGTCAATTGCCTTCAAACAAGCGAAATATAAATAAGCCTGTCATCATATCTTCAGTTTAGAGCTATTTATCTGCTTCCTCTGAACAAAATGAAACTTCCAACAGCAATATAATTTGGTGAAATGGGGCTACCTGCCTAGGACCTTCTGTCAAATAATGGTTCAACATTGGCATCATAGCCTTCTTTTAGAGCCTAGATTTTCACCATCACCTACAAAGAATTTGGGTTCTGAGATGATGTTGATTTGGTATATGAATTTTGATAAAAGACGAATATCGACAAAATTGAGCTTGCCACCATCATTTTAGTTGTCAAAGAAAACAGCATTTCACCTTTTCTTGTAGACGAGTTAGATCATAGAAAGACATTGGATTCGTTCTGTTTTGTCGGAAAAGAAAAGGTTGGTTCTTTAATAGGTTTTGGAGGATGGACACTTGCATCAGGTTAATGTGCTCACTAGTCAATATGTAAGACATTTGTGAAACAGGAAAAGGGTCTAGTTGTTTTATTATTAAATATCAGCACTATTTTCCCCCTTTTCTTTGATAAATCAACTTTCAAGTATCACAACATGTAAGTGCCTTAACAACGTATATCTATCTAGCTATCCAAATATTCTATACATAGCGGTAATTTTTCATCACATAAAAAAATAGATGAAATAAAAAGAATCTTGTTATACTCTTTACATCTCTTTCAGTATTATGAAATAACCTCCTATCTCTCCATTTCCAACTATTCCAAAAGAAACACAATGGTGTCGTTCTCCAAACTGCTTTCCTTGTCCCCAGTATGACTCTTGAGATATTAAGTAATACACATGCAAGATTCGGAAGTTGAGTAGTGTATTTAAAATGGATCAAAAGATCATCCATGTGTTCTCTCTAGTTCTTACATAAACAACACCAATTGACCATCATTGATCTCCTCATCCTTAAGTTATCCACCTTTAATATTGCATCTCCTATTGCACACCTAGTAAAGAATACTACTTTTTTTTGGGGGGGGGGGGGGGTGTGTGGGTGTGTGTGGCTTGGTGCCTCACACATTCTTCTACAAACCCTTTTTAAAAGTATTTACAATTCTTGGATAAAGATTCCAGGATCCTAGGAATTCAGCACTGTTGACTATTAAATTTTATTAAACTAAGATCACAGGATTAACTTTCTGTATGATCATCCACCAACACTCTCCGCTCTCTATTTATGTGGTATATTTGTTCGAAGCAGAACATGGTAGCCCTCATTTTTCTCCCAGCTAACAACTTGACCTATAGGCTTAGCGACAAATGTATGAGCATTCTGTAGAGGGAACAAAGAGAACTGGGTACACCAATTAAATGGCAGGAGTATTAGCAATGAGAATTGATAAGACACTTCCTTTAGTAGAAATGCTTGATTTGAACAAAAAAATCCCAAGTTTAAATCTCTGTATTAGATTCTTCTGTGGTGGAATTGCTCTCTCCTAGCTTGGGGCTAGATTGAGAGTAAGTTTTGTCACAAAAAAGGGGCTAGGTATTCAGATTATTTATTGATTCTTCAAAGAAGGATTAGGCAAATCCAACCAGTGGAACAGACAGATAATAACAAAGATAAAAGCGTTGCATAGTTGGTGAACTGGAACTCTAGATAATTGAGTTTTCTCCATACTCATGAATCAATAGTAGGTACCACAAATCAGAATCTTGGTGTATAGCCAACCTTCAATAATTGTTCGTACAGAAGCGAGGTTCGGCATTGTTAATTGTATTAGCGATCTCTAATTGAGCCGAGGACTAAATAAAATTTGGATATTGACATGTTATTAGTTTTTAACCACGGCCAAAAGTGCAAAGCCTATGGGCTATGATTGGCCATGCTTCTCTTGATCCCACCTGTCACTGGTAAAGGCAGGTCAAGATCAGATGGACGCTTGAGATTGTTAGTCACTTCATCTTTGTGGAGGTAGGAGAATTTCTTTTGTACTTGTAAAGCATGCTAATAAAGAGAAGAATCTTTTGAGGAGCACCTGCGGTAATAATTTCAGTCGTCAACCCAAGTTTTTTTGTTGTGTACTGATGCATGATGTGAATTTGAATCAGCTAAGAATATGTCTAATTGGCGGAGAAGTGATCTAAAAGCAGGAATATTGTTTGTATAGCTATCAAGTATGTTAACTATTTATTGGTCTCTGCAAGATTTGTGCTTAAGGTGTTCAAATGCAAAGTGAAATTCCCTTTTTCAACAAGGGCTAGATATTGCCATGCAAAATACATAGTTTAACCATCAAACTTGCACCGAAATCCTTGTTACACAACTTATTTTCACGAGTAATCTTTTACACACTCAACCTTTCAAAAGTGTCTAATACACACCTTTTTGATTATGTGTCACTCGCGTGTTTTTCACACATAAGAGGCGAGTGGACAATTATAATTTTGTGTCTGAAGGCTCATTTTGACAGCACTTGTCCTGCCTTTCCATTTTTTTCATTTTTCTAAATCCTTTTCATCATTATTTAGAAAAAACATCCACTATTCTTTTCCATCTTTTTCCATTACTGCACCATCGCCTTCTTCTACCACCATACCACCAAATATTTTTGCCAAGATTTAAAGGAGGATTAAAAATAATCAGAGTTTCATATTTAACATAGGAATCGCTGAATGATCGTGTCACGGTTGCGCTGCTTGGGTGGCCAAATGCTGAAGGGAAAATTCGTTAAGTTCTTCATATGTGTTTCGTGAGAATTTGTGGGTTCTAATTGGGTATGTGGAGTTTCTTTCATTTCAGCCATTAATGGGTTGGGAATTTTGAGCTCTTGGGTTCTATTTTGTTGTCACTGTTTCTGGGGTAAGCACATTTGGTACTCAAACTATATAATCGGTTAGTCAATTTGAAATAGGGAGGATACAAATACGAAGAATTTTAGGGAAAATATTTAATCGGCAATGATGATAGAAATTCAATGTTGTCCTAATAATTTGAAAATTAAAATTAATAATAAAGGTTCATGGTTGCTAGTACAAATTACTCACTTGGAGGGGGGAGGGGGGGGGGGTCGAGTCATGGTGGTACAACTTGGGGGAAGATGATGGATATAATTGTAAAATCAAGTTTTTTTAAAGTCAATAACACGTGTCACGTTCTTATTGGTGCGTGACACTTGATGAGAAAAAAATGGTCAAGTACTGAAGAGGTGTATTTTAGACACTTTCGAAAGGTTGAGTATATAAAAAATTTCTCATGAAAAAAAGGTGTGTAACAAGGATTTCGATGCAAGTTTGATGGATAAACTATGTATTTTGCTTAGAAGAAAAGAAACCAGACAATATAGGAGAAGAAAATTGGAAGATTATCAACCGCGTTGGTTGTGGTACCATTCGATCTTACCTTACAAGAGAACAGAAATGTCCGTACACTAAGAAACTTCTGCAAATAAATTGTGGAATGTATTGTAGGATAAATTCTTGAAGAAAAACTGTCAAAATAAACTTTACATAAAAAAAAGACTGTTATGCTTCACATATGTTCCTGGTACTACAATGTATGGTCATATTACTAGCTTTAATAAGTTGGCGATAGATTTGCAGAATATAGACATGACTTTTAGTGATGGAGATATGACATTAATGTTATTAAGTTCACTTCCCGATAAGTACGAGCACCTCAAAACTACTCTACTTCATGGGAATGATGAAGTATCTCTCAAAGAAGTTTGTTCTGCCTTATAC